ATACATAGATGTTAAATACTATCATACATAGATGTTAAATACTATCGTACATAAATGTCAAATATGCAGGGACATTTTGTGGCCGATCAAGTATTTTTTTTCTCCACAGAATTGTTCTAGAGTTCAATAAAATAATTTTATGTGATGTACATAATACAAATCGCACAGTATCTATATGACCTTTAATATCATAAATAACTAGATGATTACCATAGCAACAAGTTACCTAAAATATGGAAATGGAAGATGCTAAATTTTGCTGTTGATGATTCAGCGATGCTTTTTAGCTATTGTTAAAAACTTGTATGCAATTATAATTGCTGAATCACCAAAATTTGTTGTACAAAAAAGTTGATACAGTCAGCCAATGTGCTTTAATGTTGGTAATACACATCGTAGAGAAATGAATTTAGCTCACAGCTCTGTTTGTATGTCATCTACAGTTTGTATTGGCTAAAAAAAAAATTTGAGAACACAAAATTATTTATTAATGTACCAAGGCTAGTTTGAAAATGAAATCGTCCCAAGGAAGGCTGATGACATGTTCCAATGTTGCTTTTTAGAACAAAAATTGCCACTAGTTGGTCAAAGGTCAACAAAGCCAAATTGACATACATTATGCTTTTCTGGACACATTCACATATGAACAAACCCCAACATGCAAGTCCGTGTTTAAAGTGATAATGTTGAGCAGACACCCACCTCTGCATTCAAAATTGAAGATATGATGACAATATACACATGATAAAGAGCGATAATACAATGAAATTCAGTACTCACTGGCATAAAATGTAGAATTATCAGTGCCATTAACTGCCAATGAATCAATAGTTGGTGTTGGAGGATCACCAATTTCCACTGTCACAGTTGCAGGATCTACAGCTCTTCTACGTCTCTTGCTCTCTCTGACAATGTCAACTACCCGGATTTGATCTGTGCTAATACCAAACAGGTTAGCGAGGTTTGAAATCAAGTTAATCTCGAAGAAGTCATCAATATGGACAGGATCAACACCGAATGCAACAATTATTACAGGACTAATGCGAACTTCAATTACATCAGATCCACGAATCAGAATATACAGAGTTTGAACCTCATTGTCATGGAAGTTTTGTCCACTTGAACCACCTATTGTTGGGAGATACTGGTCATCAGGAAGAGAAGGATTCCTAGGGAGCCAGGTGAAGCTTGAACCAGACAACTGAGCATTTGTTGGTGCAATATATGCATCATTGCGGTAAACATCTAAACGTTGTGAATTTGCTCCCCACATATCAATTCGCACAGTTTCATCATCATCAGCATTGAGGAGGTGAAAACGAAGGTTTTGAGGATTGGTGCCAGTGAATGCCATGTCATAAATCTTTCCACTGGAAACAATAGTATAGAAGGTGCTAATACGTTCTTGACACGTATACCCAAGACACCAACCATTATCCATGGGTCCATTAATTAAATCCATGTAACCATCAGCTACAAGACCAATTGGTGATACACGTCGTGTTTCGGTATCTTCATCCATACTCTCAATTACCATCATAATGTAGTTTAAATCATGACACTCATAGGCGTGCCAGTCATCATGAAAGACACACTCATCATTCCTTATAATACCTGAATTAAAGACAATTGCATATCCTCAATATGATAAGCACTAAAAAAAAATCATTCTTGATTCCACGTATGCAACAGCTGTGTTTCATATTAGTGTTAATTTCATAAATTAAGGATTTCTAAACTTTCATTCATCAAAAATAGACAGTTTTATACTGAGTTTATATATGCATAATTTTTAAATTACTGGTTAATATAAGTTATTAGTTGACATTTTATTATGTTATCTGCATGGACAAACCTTTTTTTGGTGCTACATCATTGATGTTCTTACGACTTCCATCTGGGTTTGCCAGTAGAGTTACTGGAATACGGTAATCACCAACTCCATGTCTCCTATCACCATCCCATTCATATTCAGACTTTGGTATCACTGTTCCTGGTGTCCCCAACAATCCACCATCAAGATCTTTGATAATGGCTTTCTTCTTTCCATCACAATCCATGTCCACACAATCTGCTGGATTTACAAAACTGAAATCAAAGAGATCAAACATGATATTAATAAAGTGTGCTATTTAGCAATGAACTATTTAGCTTAAACATCACTATGCCAGATCAACACCTTTCTCTACACATAGTTTTAAACATACTGTGTAAGCCAATTATAGCTTGCTACACCATATACTATCACAGTTTACAACACAAATCTTTAGTAATCTAGCGTGATTTAAACCTGACTCTTATGTTGTTCCACATAGTTTGAAATTATGGGGATGCGATTCTCTATACCAATATCAATATTTGAAATTATAGAGACAAAATGGGGTAAACCTTATCTCTATGCATGAATATACCTTGAGTATTATGTTCTTTCCCAATTATAATCATGTTACTTCGCAATGATTACTTGCTACGTGTACATACATAAAAAGCCAAAATACCATGGGGGTGGGCGCTTACCCGAGCACCCTCCTCGAAAAAGAGTGCAAATGAAAATTTTGATTCATCAAGTGACAGATTACGTCTTTGAGGGAAAATCAAATTACGAAATTAGTTGAGTCGTCATTGATTTTCACAATGAAGAAAAAACAGAAATGATCACAAAAAATATGCACATTTTATTACAATATTAATAACGTACCACCACAATTTACGAAATTAAAAACATTTGAGTCTGTTGGAACACAGTCAAAGTCAAAATTGTCATATTATCTCCACTGACGAAGGTGTTGGATTGTACGCAAACTCTCGATGAAAATCACTTTCCGCCATGATGCATTTGCACATTTGACTTGCAGCAGCGTTCTTTAACCTAATGGGTCAAGTTGGTTATTAACCAATCAGAATGCTGTGTTGTACTGACACAATTCTTCGGAAATTCCCGAAGACTTTCTGGTAATGCAATGCGCAAGTGAATTATCGATGTCGAAGTAAGATCTGTTGGAATTGATTTCAGCGAATAAACAACATGGTTTTTCAAAAAAACTACGGTAGTCATTTTTGAGAGGTAAACTGAATATGGCATGAAATATTTATCGCATTTCACTTGTATTAACAGGTTGTTGTCGAAGCGTAGTTTATGCACGGTTACCGTGTTCTACGCATTCACAACATGTTCACAGCGGACGATATCAACGCTGTATCATATAAAAACGATTACCAAGATTCGTCACGCAAGACCAAGTTTTAAATTAGTTGCATTTTGAAGGGGTGGGCGCTTTGCCGAATGTGACCCCAAATATAACAAGTCATTGTCAATGACACGTCCCCGTTCCGTTCATATTTGAGTGACATATACATTCAAAGCAGATCATGACCGAAATGCACCTGCATATGTACAACACATTGTGCTAAATCTGAACAAAATCCATCCATGCATGACTGAGATCCGGTTCTGGAATTGTGAAAATACGTGATTTTGATGCATTTTCGGCCTTAAAATGGCCATCATTCCGCTATTGTTAAGCAGATCATGAAACAAATGCACATATCTATTTGTGACATGATGTACCATGTGTGTGTGAAGTTTGAACTTGATCAATCCAGACATGTCTTGGATACGGATCCAGAACTGAATTCTTTAACAAAATGGCCGCCAGTCGGCCATTTCGAACTTGATCCGAAAAAAAATAAAAGAT